GCAGGAATGAGGTCTTGACTTTCAGAGCTGCTGCCTCTCTGGAGGTTGCCAAGGACTTTCTTCGGGTTGAATTCCTTGATTTTTTGTTTATTGATTTTTGCTTCCCTGTGGAGATTTCTCTTCAGCTCAGCCTGGGTTTGCAAATGAGTCATCAACACGAGCAACAGAGGAGCAAGCACGTTTTAACAGCTCAGCGTGGCATGTCATTAAGGGGCTGGTGCTGAAAATAATTATGCAGTTGAGTAGCTTAACCAGGGCAAATCGTAATTGCCAGATGAGGTACATGACAGAACATGACCTGGGCTGAGCTGTTTTGGTTACTCCATGGGCAACTGTCAAATGAGGGCAAAGTTTTGAAAAAGCAGAAATAATTACTGAACTTTTCCTAGGGCAGAAGAAAACTACTGAGTTCAACTACTCTGTGGCCCAGTGACTACTGAATTAAAAAGAAATACAAAGAAGCCTGCGGATAGGAATCTGCTTGACCCCACTGAGTCACGCAGGGCTCTGTCACATGCAGGTATCCAAGCGCTTTGGGAGGGAAAACAGCATCTGGATGCACATTTTCAGCTGGAGCCTGGGGCAGGGGATGCTGCACAGACTTGGCCCAGGTCATTAACAGAGTGAGGACCCACAAAAATGGGCAAAATCGTCTATAGTCACCTGTGTGGACATTGCTGTGCAAAGTGAGGCAGAAGCGGATGGTTTCACCTCCCCACCTGTGTTTGAGGGCAAGGGGCAAATACCCAGAAATGACCCAAATACGTCAGAAAGCGCCCACGTCTCGGCCTCACCTCCTGGCGCCTGCGGTTCAAGTCGAGCATTCGCAGCTTGTGCAAGTGCTGCCGTCTGCCAGGGAGCTGTCTCGGGGCCTGTCCCCACTTCTCCAGAGCCTGTAAGGGATATAAGCCCATAAGGCAGCGTTTTCCTGCATCTCCAGCTTGCAGAAATATATCTCACGTGTTCACAGCACTTGCAGGTTATCTTGCAGCTCTGGGGACCCTCAATCCTTAGGGCCTTTGAGATAAAGAGTTCAAAAGACAACCTCAATTTTCAGCAAACTCTTGGAGGTCTGGATAGACATAGCAGAAGCTTAGTCTGCAAAACGTTCTGCGTTCGCACAAGAGGCAGCAGCACCAGCAACCGAGTCACTGAACATGCGGAATATAGTTCAGAGGGAGACCAGCTCTAACTCCCCGGGGTTAGGGAGTGCGGTGGCAGCGTCGTCCCTCCTGGCCCTGCTGCATTTGCCCTCGGCCGAGCACCCACCTTCGCTGTCGGAGTAGCTGCCGCGTCTCGCTGGCTCCGGAGCTCCTCAGCGTCGAGAAGGGCAGCAGGCTCGAGCTTCTGCAAGTCCAGGGTTTGCAATGGTCAGCACTCCCCACGGCCAAAAAACACCAGAGCCCGATATTCAACTGCCTTGACATTTTTCCAGCATGAATTCTGGCCCTGCTTTGGGAATATGGGAGACTGGCCTCTTCAAAGAGCATTTGGAGAGAGTGACTTCTCCTGAGGTGCTCCAGAAAGGGATAAAACCCAGGGAATCTCCCGCTTAGAGGCAAAACAACACAAGCCTTGCTGAAACCTGTGCTCTTCTTTTGGCTCCATCCCTATGGGTATTCTCTCTGCCATAACGGTGCCTACGTGGAGCCGGGGTGAAGGCAAAACCCAGCCCAGAGAGCTTCACACCGGAGCTGACGAGACAAATAGGATGTGTAGAAACTGAAGCATGGAGATGCACCATGATTTAATGAAACATCTCCTACCAGGTCACCTGAGGCTACCTGAGACCCAGAGCACTGACCATCTGGTCAACCCATCTCCCCTGCATTGGCCTGAGACTGAGCAGAGCCTGCTCGTGGTGAGAGGAGCTCTTCAAGGCGGCTAATGGAGGCAGGCAGAGCATTGCCTTACAGACTGCTCTGATCATGGATTTGCATTTCAAGGAACAAAGAAATCTCCTTAAACTCTGCCAGACTACTAGATGATATTGGATTACTCCTTGGCTTGGGATTGCTTGTTTTCCTTTGGAGGATGGGAGCTCAGCGTGGCCTCCATAAAATTAAGTGGAGCAACCTCAAGGATTTCATTGAGAAGAAGACCTGACACGCTTTATGTGGGACATTGACCTCTTGAGACATTCGCAAGAGTGTCTGCCCCTTTAGCTCCATGGATTGAATTGCTGCCAAAGCCAGAGCTGTGATGTTTGAGCATCCTATAAATAAATGAAATGATGCGGTAAGAAAAGGTCAGCAGCGTCGCATAAAGCAAGCAGGAAAGAAATGCAAGAGGGGAACCCAAACTTTTGAGGGTACACCAACCCCAGGAAAGCAGGAGAGACTTGGTCCAAAGCCCCCTGGCACCAGTGGAAAATTCCCTTAGGTTTCCTATGTATTTAGTTCTGATTTTTCAGGCAAAGGAGCATCTTCTGGTGACTGAGCCACTAGCAGAGCAAATGTTTGCTGCATCCTCCTTCCAGGCTGACCTCTTACCCTGCAAACACAGTGCAGTCCATGTTCTATTTCTATTTATTTTCTTCCCTCTAGTTAGCATCTTTTGGTTGGGTTTTGCGCCTTATATGGGCTAAGGTCTTTTATTCCAGCGAATTCTATGCCCTTCCCAGGATCATGTCCTGGGATTGATTGAGGGCACGTTAGTTATGTCAGCCCGACACCCACTCACAAGTGTCAAATACTTCAAGTTCCCTCCCTAGAGCATCTGCAATGCGGAGCCACCAGCAGCGACCATCGAGTCCTCTGGCTCCACCATGAGATGTCCATCCCCACCGGTGCCTGGTGCCCTCCTGCACTGCTGTAGACCAAACCAACAGCCAAAGTCCTGCTACAGCTCCCAGAAACAGCAGTGAGGATGCACAGCCCCTTTTGCCTGCAATAGTGGTAAGAAGCACTCAAACTCCTCTGGGGAAGTCACCAGCTGAAGCCATGAGAGCTCCAGCCAAGGACATCCTCCAGGAGCTCGTGGAGGATGCGTGGAGGGACTTCAATGTGCTCTGGAGAAGGGAAGAGCATGGAGGGACATTTCTATGAGAACCTGGAAGGAAAAGGTGCAGAGCAAGGTTTAGAGATACAGCTCAGGGGAAAGCAAGCTAAGTCCTGAGGGCAAATGCATCCAGAGATGTGGGCAAAGATATGGGCCCTGCTTGAGTTCTTCCTCCAGGAGCTGCTACATTCAGCATAAGCATTGTGCTGAAAAGGTGCCAAAAATGACAGTTCCCTCTCCCAAGAGCAGAAGATCTCAACTTTAATTCTTCTTAATTGTCTGCTGGGTGGGAAGTGGCACTTCTGCTGTGTTTTACCCAAAGACGTCATGCAGGCACAAGGCTACGATGTGCCAGGGAGTCTTCACACTTGCTATAGGACACGGTCGCTGCCCCAAGGACTTCACCGATCAAGCCAGGTCTAACACAAACCAGCAACAACTCTATTTCATGGGCAGAGACACGAGCCACGGGCCCCATGGTCTGCTTAGGACGTCCAGGGCACGGGCCCCACCGGCCACGCTCACCAGCATCCCGAGGATGCAGCTCATAGAGACCCAGGTAATCCAGAAGCCAGGGGGAAAATACTGATTTCCCAAAGCTCATCTCAGTGCTTTCCCCTGCAGGAAATCTTCTAATTTTGTAAAATTTTCTAAAAAGAAAAGGAAATTATGCTCATTCAAGAGATGACACTAGGTGGCAGCATGTGTCCCTGTAAATCGCGGTACATTCCCCAGGTGACAAGGAGGCAGGTGGCCAGCGCATCCCTCCCGATCCCGCTGCCGCCACCAGGAAAATGAAGTTTCAGGTAAAGGTCACCCGTGTCACGGGCTGGAAAATCACTTTTTTTTTTTTTTTTTCCTTTTTTTCCTTCCCCGTGAGTCGTCCAGGACTTTCCTCTGGAAACAGTCCATGACCAAAACCCTCCGACAGTCCTTGAAGAGGACACGGTCTTCCAACCCCACATACTGCCTCAGGGCAAGTGGCTTTTCCTGGTGCGGGTGACACTATCTAATGCCCATGGAAGAAGCTCAGGGTAGGATTAGTAGCATCTTTGTCCCGGAATGAATAGGATCAGTGTATTTACAATACGCAAATATAGTTGTAACAGAAAAACAAGACCAATGACTGAAAATTATGTGCCAATATTATGTTTCTAAAGGAGACTCTGATTATGTGCAACTATGTGTGGGATGTCACAGGCTCCTTGCAGGTGCCGTCTTATCCTCTTGCCTAGCAGAAGGGCATTTTATTCAGTATTTGATGTCCTTAGGTGTCTCTGAAGCTCCTAGCATTGGCCAGAACTACAGACAGAGGTGGAGAGAACTTAACTGGCCCCATCTGGTTGCTCTGATCTTCTTTATCAGGAAGTAAAGGAAAAATCTTTTAACAGTGAGGGTGCCAGAGCCCTGGAACAGGCTGCCCCGAGAGGTTGTGGAGTCTCCTTCTCTGGAGATCTTTAAACCCGCTTGGACGCAGCCCTGTGCCACGTGCTCTAGGTGACCCTGCATGTGCAGGGGGGTTGGACTAGATGATCTCTAGAGGTCCCTTCCAAGCTTAAGCGTTCTGTGATTCTCTGATTTATGCTAAAAAGACCAGACCCCACGTGGAAGACTGGCATTTTAAGCACAGAAAGGCACACCCGAGCAAGGCATCCTGGTTCAGCCGGGTTGCTATTGTGTCTCATGCACCAAGAATTTGTCCTCTGCTATTTGGAGATCTTTGGGGATGCTGTGTGTAAGGCTGTGGGAATGAGCCGTGCTTGTTGGAGCAGCCCCATTCCCAAAGCAGGAGGAGCAGGGTGGGCTCAGCAGCAGGTTTGGTATCAGCCCTTGATTGCTAATTGGAAGTCCTGCCCAAACGAGAGCCCAGGGTGTTTGTTTTTAGCAGCTGGGACTGAGCTGGAAAGTGCTGGGATTGTGGGAAGGGGATGGGATATGTGAAAGTTGGGGTGAGCCCTGGGGAAGGGAATTGCAGGCAGCCACAAAGCTCCTGCTGCGGGTGAGGAAAGGGCTGCGAGGAGAAGGTTTGTCCTGACCGCAGGAGTGACGGAGCCTCCCGAGCCGGGCATGGGCTCAGGGTTGTGCAGATGGGAAGGGTGAGAGAAGCCAACGCCGGCCAAACACCAGCGTCTTTGCACCTTGAGAGGTGGGCAGCTAAGAGAAGAGATGGAGAGTTGGAAACGTGGTGGTGGTCTGTGCAGGAAAATCTGAGGAGGCAAAGAAAACGCAGGAAAGGGGAGAAGAAAACAACTTTCTTCTCCCTTTTGTCCTGAGAGGATCAAGAATTGCACAGCCCCTGTAATGCAGCTCCTAATGCAGATTGATGGGGACTTTCTGAGCGTGAGCCTTGATTTTATTGCATGAAAACATCAAACCAACTTTATATATATATGTATATATACATATAAATATAGACAGATAGCTATATATCTAAGATTTGGGCATCCCATGTGTGTCCCTGCAGGGAATCGGCAGCCCCGCTATGGGCAAAGGGGCTGGATCGTTTGGTGCAATGAGACTTTTCAAACTCATCTTACTTGAGGTCTCCGAGGTGGGTGCTGCTTAATGATGCTGGTGTCTCCTGTTTCCCGCATGATGTTCAAGGAAAGGGGTCTGGGCCCTTGGGGATTAGAAAAGGAGAAGAAACGGATGAGTTACTGTGGCGTGATGTGTCCTGCAATGGCCTCTCCCCCAGCTCTTGTTTGGCCTTCGCGCCCTCCTCCAGCATCCTGGTGTCCTCCCTGGTCTCCCCCGTGGCCTGTGCCCAATGCGGCCCAAGGAATCGTGGCTGGCCAAGAAAACAACCAGCACCAAAGAGGTGCCCGGGGAGGACGTGCTACCAAGTCTGTCATTAAGGCTGTGCTTTAACTCGGGCCCGAACGCGCCCGTGGCCTCGGGTCTGTTCTTCGTTACTGCTCCCCAGGTGGACGCTGCTGCCTCTCCTGCACAGATGGATGCTCACGTGTGCACAAAGTCTGTGTTTTTAATGTAGGTTCTTCTATTCCTCCTTGCTGTCCTGCTGCATTTAAAGGCTGTTTTACACGCAGGGTTATATATGTAGTGGGTCTAGATGTAACCTGCTCCAAGCTGGCCACTCCGATGCGGAAAAAAATAGGAATTGAGGCGGGGAATGGCCTAGGAAGCCCCAGGAAAGGGTGTTTTGTTGCAGCTAATGTCCAGCTTCCTAGAAAAAATTAGAGTCTGTCTTACAGGGGGGAACCCAGGGCAGTCCCTGGCCACGAGGGCGCCGTGATCCCCTTGTGAGCGCAGCCGGGTTCTCCTGGGAAAGGATCCGCTCGGCTCTGCCAAGCACCGGGCAATGATTAACAGCGACTGCCCGAAAGCAGAAATTCCAGCACAGGTGACGTCTCAGGAGGAAAATTCAGCCCTCTCCATGCGGCCTCCTCGCCCAGTACCGTCTACTTGCAGAGCAGATCCCAGCGCTGCAGAGCGTGTTGGCAATTTCTATTTTTTTTCCTTTATCCTCGCATCTAAATAGCTCATTTTCTCCACTAGCAAGCGAAAAATTTAATGCCAGCCCCAGTGAATTCTTGCAAGCTAAATAAGACCCTTTCCCTAGGAGACTCTGCTTATTTGGGCAGCAGCTCAAGCTAATGCATCGCTCGAGTGCTCTTGAGCATGCTCACTTCTGCAAATGAAGTATGTAATAGGAAATGACTTTTTAATATATTTTTTAATAAAATATGTGTTTTTGTAAGTATTTGATAAATGCCCAGTGATTATCACTGTCCAGAAGGGGGTATGTGGTTGCTCTTGCTGTCATGCAGCACTTGCAGGGCTGGTCGTGTGCCCTGCACTGCTGTGCACTCGCCCCAGGTCTCCGCTCAGGAATGTGAACACTGTCCTGCCGGAGGTGCCTTTGCTTCCCTGGGCTCCCAATCTCCTTCCAGGAAGAAATTCCCGATAACGCTGAGCAGTGTTTGGTTTACATCTAAAATTCACTTTTAGAAATGGAAAATAAGGAGGAGGAGCCCTGAGTTTGCCAATCCCGCTCCAAGCGAGCAGCCTCATTGCCATGCATGGCGCCTTCCCTCTGGATTTATTGAACGCGGCCGCAGGTGGCCCCTCCTCATCATCTCGCTCCTTACGGAGCCGCACGGCAGCTTTTGCTAGTGCCTCCTTCCCCATCTTGGGACATGCAGGGAATTTAGAAACTGCTGCCAACAGCTGCGGCTGGTCCCTGCATGGGAAAGGCTCCTGCTCTCCAGGGAAAACACCAGCCCGGGCTGCATTTGCTTCCCTCTGCGTGCGGATTGCAACAGGAGCCTCACATCAGACACGGGGGTTATTGATGTAGGTGCTCAGTTTTACCTGCTGAGCGTCCTCCCCAGGATTTAATTCTGATTAAGGTAATTATCCAGGTCTGCCCCATGGTAACACAGATGCAGGGGGGGTGTGTAATGAGCGAAGGGGCCACGTGCAGACACAACCTGCAGTCCTGGATGCCCATTTTTAGTGCTATGGAAGGGGGGCTGTTTACAGGAGGGCAACTTGTGCTGGGACCTGGCTAAAACAGTTCCCCAAAACAAGTTGCAAAGGGGAGGAGCAAAAGCGATTATTTATTTATTACTAATTGCAATTATTATCGCTAATGATCCGCTCTTACCTGCAGCGACTCGGCTGTGCCCAGGCTCCCGGAGCGGCGGGAGCTGCCGCGGGAAGGGGCCTCTTTCCTGCTCCGACGCTTCTCGCCCGCGTGGGGCCGAGACGTAGGGCGAGAAGGGCCAGGTGCCCCCCGCTC